GTTAATACGTGAAAAGAGTATAGACTGTGTCACCTTCTTTTTGACCTGTACAATGCCTTAACCTTTTAAAATTGTTTTTCCAATTCTGAATCGAGACAAAAAAAATAGTAATAAAGTTATTTTGAACAGAAGATGGTCCTAGGTTAATAATACCTGGCTTTGATATCTTAATTTTTTAAGGTTTGCAAAAACTAACGAGATCAATGCGAATCATTAAATACGTGTTGATCACTTTTTTTACACAAAACATTTATGAGTGTTCAAGTGAATGCAAAAAGCTAACTCCTTCTGAATCAGCACAGACATGAATGCAATTGTTCTGTTTTTAGGAACAGTCACTTCTGAACCAACAAACACACAAGATTGGAAGTATAATTTCGACATTTAACGACCTTAAACAGTAAGTAGGGCCTTAGTATTTAATCACACCAGCTACTAACAATCCAGTATGCAACTAACTCATAATTAACATTAAATGAGCTCGTTTACACAATTAAAATTCTCAACAAACCCATCTTATTAACTGATTAAAACGTTCAACTAAATTCAGTCTGATACTAAAAATGTGTGTGCAGCTGTGAGTGGCAGAGGGTTCATAGCAAGAGACGTTTCCTTTCAGAACACGGCAGGGCCTGAGAAGCACCAAGCAGTGGCGCTGAGATCAGACTCGGATCTCTCTGTGTTCTACCGATGTGGGATTTTCGGTTTCCAAGACAGCCTATACACCCACACCATGCGCCAATTCTTCAGAGAATGCAGAATAACAGGCACGGTGGACTTCATCTTCGGCGACGCCACCGCCGTCTTCCAGAACTGCTTAATACAACCGAAGAAGGGTTTGCCAAATCAGAAGAACACGATCACAGCACACGGTAGAAAAGACCCAAATGAGCCAACGGGTTTCTCATTCCAGTTCTGCAACATCACTGCAGATTCCGACCTTGCACCCGTCGTCAACACCACTCAAACGTATCTGGGCAGACCCTGGAAGAGTTACTCACGAACCGTTTTCATGCAATCGTTCATGAGTGAGGTGATAAGGGCAGAGGGGTGGTTGGAGTGGAATGGAGACTTTGCTTTGGACACATTGTATTATGCAGAGTACCTGAACACTGGGGCAGGTGCTGGCGTGGCGAACCGTGTGAAATGGACAGGGTACCATGCATTCAATGATTCAAGCCAGGTGAGTAACTTCACGGTGGCTCAGTTTATTGAGGGGAATCTCTGGTTGCCTTCCACTGGAGTAACCTACACTGCTGCATTCAAAGCTTAACGCAACACTGCCATGCTTTCTTACTCTTGTACTTAGAATCTATTCATGTGGTTCTTTATGGTTTATATCAGAGAAAAAATATATAGGTGTCAAGAAAACAAGTTAATGGGGTATGGGTCCGTCTTCAGTTCAATTAATTAGGACTTTATTACTGTTAATGATTTGAATTTTGTGAACGGTATGAGGCAGTCTTGTGTTCAATTGCACAACAGTGCAGCACATGCAGCTTCACCTAAGTTTTAATGGAGGTGTCATGTAATAATGTTGATTAATTTATTATAGATGATAACGATCATTTTTATTATAATATTTTTAGTATTGACGCACTTCTTTAAGATAATACCTTTTTACTTAATTATTAATTAACACGAATTATCTGTCATCAACTTTTGTGAATGCGAGATTTATCAGTGATTAGATAATTCTGTCATGACTAGTGAATAGTTATTAAGAATAGAGTTTTTTCGCTTCCAAAATATCAAACACTTACTTCATCACTGTATTTAAACAAGTAGTTGCTCCGTCTTAATCTCCAACAAACAAAATGAAGCAATACAACTAACTTTTGGCTCTGGGGTTGCACAAGATAAAGGTAACCATTTCTTGAAAGTTGAAGTCATGAGATAAAGCATGAAGGTTTCGCTGTCGTTGTCATTCTATTTATCAGTTACCGTCAAATAGTCTGATAGTACTTCACTAATAGCAGTGACCCACTCTTGGTTTCTGACTACTCTGGGAGTTGGAAGATGTTACGGAAACTCTGCAATTAAAGTATTGAAACTGTTATTCTCGAAGTGGAACTGTCAACGTACAAAGGTCCCTTCAATTAGAACTTAATGTCCACCAACCCTTTCATTATTTTCACCGCTATCCACAAAAAAACAAAACAGAATGACCCAAAATAGAGGCAATGTCTTCATGTCTTAGAGCATTCTCTTTCACCGACACGTGTTTCAGTGTTTCTACATCAACTTCATAGATAACCATCACTCTAAACCAAATGACGGTTCCTTTTCGGGTATTTCTCATTCTTACTTCCCATCGTTCTCGCCAATGCCAATAATACCCTGTTGGTCTGCGAGTAAAAACAAAAGAGATGACCCAACCTAAGCAGAAATATTGGAAAATTAATATGGCAGACGTTAGTTTTTGTGCACCACATGAATCCCCTTTGGCCTCTAGCCGATTTTCATGTTACCATGTTTGAAAAGGTAGTCCAATTGTCTACCCTCTTTATGTTAAAGGTTAAAAAATCCAAGTCCGTGCTATTTTTTTAATTCTAATTTCTATTCCATGCTCACCAACTGCCTTATTTATCACGAGCCAAAAACTGAAACTCTTCATCTCCAAATTACAATGTTATCAGCCTCTCTCTTCTCACTGTTTGTGTAATAGTAATTTCATGGCAATTCCTAAACTTTTCCTCCTTCTTTTGGCATACTTCTTCTCACATGCCATAGCTGTTAAGTCCTCCAATGCTTTCACAATCCCAACATTCCATGCAAACCACTCTTCCTTAAATAGAACAAACTTATTTCATGAAGTCAGCTTCGGTTCCTCTAAGCTTTCCATCTCAATAAACATAAATCCAAACATCATCAACACCCTCCTTCAGTCCCTCCAAGCAGCAATATCTGATGCCACAAAACTATCTGATCTATTAAACAATGCAGGACACTCAAGCATCATAGAGAACAAAATAGGAGCAGTCCAAGACTGTAGAGAACTTCAACAATCCACCTTAGCTTCCTTAGAACGATCGCTATCAGGAATCCGTTCCCAAGACTCCAGAAAAGTAGTTGATGCAAGAACCTACCTCAGTGCAGCCCTCACCAACAAAGGCACGTGTCTGGAGAGCTTAGATTCTGCTTCGGGTACCCTTAAGCCAGTTCTGGTGAATTCTGTGATAAACTCTTACAAGCATGTCAGTGACTCTCTTTCAATGCTCCCTAAGCCTGAGAAGAAGGCTTCCCAAGGACACAAGAACCGGCGTTTGTTGTGGTTGTCAAGGGCAAACCATCGCCTCTTGGAAGGCAATGATGGGGTGCTTGTTGTAGCTGCAGATGGAACGGGGAAGTTTAGCACCATCACCGAGGCTATCAACTTTGCTCCAAACAACAGCGTTGGTAGGACAGTAATCTATGTCAAAGAAGGGACTTACGAGGAAAATGTTGAAATCCCAAGTTATAAGACCAATATTGTTCTGCTTGGCGATGGAAAGGATGTAACTTTTATCACTGGCAGCAGAAGTGTCATTGATGGCTGGACCACTTTCAGATCTGCAACTCTGGGTAAACCCTTTATGGATGGAACTATTAATACGCCTAATATGCTGTACATTATAACTCTTATGAATTCATCACTGACTAATTTGTTTTAGTTTCAGTTAATTAAGATACACTTTTACCATGAGAGCTTTTATACTGTAAAGCCTTTTCAATGACAAGAATATCGAACTCTGTTAAGTTCATAGGTACTTGTAGAAAAGTGGGAGCTTCCGAAAATAATTGAGGCGCATGGCTTTATTTTAAATAAAGAAAAACCTATTAGACAGTTGTTTAGGTGTTATTAGTGTTACTTAATATAATCTTGTGATAAGACTTTACATTAAAGATCAATATAGATTAGCAACATAAAATGGAAGTTGCATGACCATTGTCTCTTTGTTTTTCAGCGGTCTCTGGAGAGGGTTTTCTTGCACGTGATATTGCTTTTGAGAACAAGGCAGGGCCAGAGAAGCATCAAGCAGTTGCCTTGAGAGTGAATGCAGACTTCACTGCATTCTACAGGTGTGCCATGTATGGTTACCAAGACACTCTCTATGTTCACTCCTTTAGACAGTTCTACAGAGAGTGTGACATTTTTGGGACCATAGATTACATATTTGGGAATGCAGCGGTGGTTTTTCAAGCATGCAACATCGTGTCTAGAATGCCAATGGCAGGCCAATTCACTGTCATTACTGCACAGTCCAGAGATTCCCCTGATGAGGACACTGGCATTTCAATCCAAAACTGCTCCATTCTAGCTACCACAGACTTGTATTCCGATTCTGGTAGTGTGAAAAGCTACCTAGGAAGACCATGGAGGGTTTATTCTCGTACCGTGTATCTTGAGTCCTACATTGATGCATTTATTGAGGCAGAGGGGTGGACCCAGTGGTCTAATGATGAAGGCTTGGACACTTTGTATTATGGAGAGTATGCCAACTATGGGCCTGGTTCAGGGACAGATAACAGAGTAGATTGGGCTGGGTACCATTTAATGGATTACGACAGTGCCTACAATTTCTCAGTTTCGGAATTTATCATTGGTGACGCTTGGCTTGGGTCTACATCATTCCCTTATGACAATGGGATTTAATTTTTATTGACAGAGGGAGAATGTGTGTGAGATATTAAATAACATTTAGGCCTTTGCAAGTGTAAAATGAAAAAGGTGACATGTATTTGTGTTATCTAAGTTCAATGTTTTATCATAAACGTCTTATATTGTATGAAAAAAGGTGCTTGAACCGAGCTGGCTGCTACGTGTGGTTTCTCTGCCTTATGCATGCCAAACAGCTAAAATTCAAATAAAATGAATGATTCTTAACAGAGTATTGACTCGTAATATTTTTTAAAAAAAATGCATTTTCAGTTTTGTTTTTAATTAATTTTGCTGAAGGTGGTACCCGATTAGATGTTTTATTTTTATTTTTAAAAAGGGGGTAAAAATTCACAGCCATTCCTTTGTGAGTGAGATGTTTTGTCCGAAATTTTGGGTGGGTTACGGAGGCAAACATGATCCTAGGATTGGAAAAGGATGTTGGATTTGTGTTACTGGTTTTGGGGAGATTCTAGTTTTAGGCGTGGAGAAAGAAGAAAGGAGAGAAGGGGATTGAAAAGGGTATCTAAAATTGGCGGGGAAGAAGGTGGAAATGTGGAGAGGAGAGGAGAAAGTGCAGCATCACACGTTAATTGGAAGGTTGAGAGTGAAATGGAAAGAGCTGAAACGTCTCTCGTCCACTCTCGCATGCAGAGAAAAAACATTAAAGTTGGAAGCGATGAAACACAGACAAGGTGTAAAAAGGAGTCAGAGGCATAGCGTCCCTTGGATATCTTTCTACCTTTCTTCTCCGCGAGTGGTTTCAATTTGAAGCTAAGGCAGAGACCTGAAATCCTCTGCCTTAGAGAAACTCTCACAATGGCGTTTCAGGATTTTGACCTCATCTCAGAGCGGCGGAGAAACGAGAAAAAGCAGAAGATGAGGAAGAGGATCATGATCGGCGTGGTTTCTTCCATCGTCCTCGTTGGCATGATCGGCGCAGTTCTCTTCGTCGTGGTTAAGAATGATGACACTGGCCATGGCAATACCAATGGAAAGAGCACCAACAAGGCACGTACCAGCCATTCACCACCACAGGCTCAAGGTGGCTCGGCCAAGGAGCAGGTGGCGCACACGGAGAAGATAGTGAAAATGGTGTGCAGCTCCTCCGATTTCAAGGACAAGTGTGAAGAACCTCTGAGCAAGGCCATGGAGAATGACTCCAAACTCTCGGAACCCAAAGACCTTCTCAAGGCCTACGTGAAGCTTGCAGAGGAAGAGGTTTCCAAGGCCTTCAACAAGACCCTGTCGATGAAGTTCGACACTGAAAAAGAAAAAGGAGCGTTCGAGGATTGCAAGAAGCTGTTTGAGGATGCCAAGGATGACATCGCAACCACCATCTCTGAACTATCCAAAACCGAGCTCAAGAATATCACTGACAAGAGTCCTGATCTGAACTCCTGGCTCAGTGCTGTCATTTCCTTCCAACAGACCTGCATAGATGGCTTCCCTCAAGGAAACATCAAGAGTGAACTTGGAAATCTCATGAACGATTCCAAGCAATTCATCAGCAACTCCCTTGCCATTGTCTCTCAGCTCGCATCGACTCTTTCTACATTGGAAACAGCTGCCGCCTCATCACACGGCCGATCCTTGCTGTCTCAGTTCTCCAACTCCCCAGCTGCTTCTCTCGACGAAACCGATGGCTTTCCCTCTTGGATCCACAACGATGACCGCAGGATCTTGAAGGCCGTCGATAACAAACCTCCACCTAATGTCACCGTGGCAAAAGACGGCAGTGCAAACTTCAAAAGCATCTCCGAAGCTTTGAATGCTGTCCCTGCAAAGTTTGAAGGACGGTAAACAAACCACCTTCTCTCGCCAACTCCTTACTTGTACGACGTTTTCATGCTTCCCGGTATATATAATTCAAGCTGCTGTGAAAAATGCAGGTATGTGATTTACGTCAAAGAAGGAATATACGACGAGACAGTGAAGGTTACAAAGAAAATGCAAAACATAACCATGTACGGCGATGGATCCCAAAAGACAATCGTCACCGGCAACAAAAACTTCAGGGACGGAGTCAGGACTTTCCTCACTGCAACTTTTGGTATGCATGTGCATGTCACTGTTATTATATTAAGATGGATGAGTAGTTACTGATTAAGAAGCATATAATGTTGGTTAGTTTAACATGTTTGGGTAAATGCAAATGCAGTGGTGGAGGGAGATGGATTCATAGGCATGGCAATGGGATTCAGAAACACGGCAGGACCCGATGGGCATCAAGCAGTGGCGGCAAGAGTGCAGGCAGATCGTGCAGTGTTTGCGAACTGTCGTTTCGAGGGGTACCAAGACACTCTATACACCCAAGCACACAGACAATTCTACAGGAGTTGCATCGTGACCGGAACAATCGACTTCATCTTCGGTGATGCGGCTGTGGTGCTCCAGAACTGCATCCTGATCATTAGGAAGCCAAACGACAACCAGCAGAACATGGTGACAGCTCAAGGGAGAGAGGACAAGCAGCAAGCGACTGGAATTGTGCTGCAGAAGTGCACAATCAAAGCCGATGACGCACTGATCCCAGTGAAGGACAAGATCAGAAGCTACCTGGGAAGGCCATGGAAGCAGTACTCAAGAACCATTGTGATGGAATCAGAAATAGGTGACGTGATTCACCCAGATGGATGGACAGCTTGGGAAGGTGATTTCGCTCTGAAAACATTGTACTATGCTGAGTATGGGAACACAGGAGCTGGTGCCTCCACCAGCGCCAGGGTGAAGTGGCCCGGTTACCAAGTTATCAGCAAGGAACAAGCTACGCAGTTCACTCCTGGCGCTTTCTTGAGAGGCACATGGCTTCAGAGCACTGGAGTGCCATCTACGCAAGGCTTGTACAACAATTAAACCTTTCCTTCCAAATTCATACCAATTCCTGTTCTTTAGGCACACTGGAAAATAAACCTCATGGTGTTCCTCGTTTTGATCAATTGTAATCTTTTTTTTATTCTTTTATTCTTTTATTTTTACTTCTCTTTCTTAATTTTTAAAAACATTATTTAATCTTAATTTGTAATCTTCCACTAACTACAGCGGTTGGAACAACTTGCCATAAAATTCTGTCACCAAAAAATAGAAGAAACCATATTATATTTCTTGTTAATAAAAAATTTCATTCTCGACCACTCTCCATTGTCTACTTAGCTCCTAGGATTCAACAATTTACGGACATTAAAATTTACTATAAAAAATGTATAAATAAAATTATGAGAAGAATGGTGATAGCAAAAGGAAATATTTATTATCTCTGAATTTAAGTTTTCAATATATGATTTATAAGTTTAAGTGAAAAAAAATTATAAACGATATTCAATTCTCAAATCTAACGAGAAATAGTAGATAAAATCATTTATTACCGGGTCTGGGTAGTTTCAAAAACGAAATAATAATACCATTATTAAAGAGAAAAACCAACGATACTTCAGTACTTAAAAGTACTAACTACGTAATAAAAAACTATGGAAAAATATTGATTCAAATAAAATAATTAAATGATAATATTTATACATTTAAATATTAATATAAAAAATAATCACCAATAATATATATCATTTAAAAAAATGTGGTAAGTCTCTTTCTGGCCGTCAGTTATGAGATAAATTAAAATTACATATTCCGTTAGCAAATTTTAAATTTATAGTTCATTTAAATTTTAAATTTATAGTTCATTTAAATATTTTTAGATGTTGAAACAAATTTTAAGATGATAAGTTTGTAATTGATTAAATTTAGTTTTTATCTCAGCTCATTCTATTAAAGACTGACTAAGGAATAAAAAACAAATTATGCAAAAGTGGTAAAGTTCTCCTGGTTTTTGTTGAAAAAACCAACATATGGGTAGACTGAAGCTCAAGAAACCTTTAATATTTGTGTTGAAAATTATGAAAGTATGTCTTTTGTAGGTCGTTTTAATTTTCTCCACTGTCTCACTTTGATTCAGTTAAGATAACAAAAATATTAAATATGTATATATATTTAACTCATTTATTAAAATCATTATAATTACCTCTACTGATCACATTATTAAGTAATTACTAAAATAACTTCATTTAAAGAAAAAAAAATTACCCTCCTTGTTCCTTGGGTTACTGATAAAAGGAGATTTTTATAAAAGGTTAATGATTCTTTTATTTTATACAACTATAATTTATGAACTAACAAAAAAAAAAAACTAATAAACTACTTCCATTCATCTCAATTGATGCCTCTCATGAAGCCTTTTATATATTTTTTTCATTCACTTCTCGTTTTTGTAAACTTTATAATTGTGATTATTTGTTTTATCTCATAGACATTATATGTTTGTAATTTTCTCGTAACCATTTGTTCTTTCATATTTGCCTAGTAAATGCATATTATATATATATATTCACTTTATACGTATTTTTTTGTTGTGTAAACTTGTTTTATCGTAGTAACATTACCTTGGATTTTAATTATATCAACAAATATTGTTTTTTCACGAGGATATTTAACTTACCAGTTTTTAGGTTGTGGTATCCACATATCACCTGTAATACCTACCCATCATCATACAAAATGGTTTATCCCTTAACTTGAAATGACACTCACATTTTCGGATGTTATATGTAATAGGCTGTACATCGAGTTTGTATTTTTTATATTTTTCACCTCTTTCACATCCTAGCAAGACAAATGTTTTCCTTCCAAGTTGACCCATAACTTTATTCAATTTTATAATCATCACAACAAATCATAGATCATATGGAATCTCTTTCACCTATTCAGTCAAGTTTTTACGAGAAAAATATATTTTATTTGTTGCAAAATTATTTGTCAAATATCTCTGTACAATCTCATTTGTAAAAGACACACAATATATTTTTATTTATATTATAATCACTTATAACATAAAATTCATCGTTCAGTATCTAATATGATTTATAACAATCTAAAAACATATAACAAATTTTTAATAAACTTAAAAAAACATCAAAATAACAATACTTAAAACTGCCTAAAAAATTATTTAAATTTTTCATATGAATTTTAAATACCAAAGTTTTTTAATAAATTAAAAAAAGTCCTACAACTTATTTTATAAAAAAAATTCTTATGCATTTTTAATTCTTTTACATCACACAAAAAAGGAAATAAAAAAATTAAACATTTATAATAAAATTATAAAATTATATTAAAAAAAAAATATATCGAATATCGAAATTTAAATGATCCTCGTCAAATCTTGAAATATAATTTTCTCTATAGGATTTGAAAATCCAATAAATAATTCCACGTTCATTAAATAAAATTCAGTCAACCACTTAATTAGGTAAGAAAAAAATACTGCTCACCAACTTAATTAATGACAAGGGTATTTGTGAAAATTAAGATTGCAGGGTGAAACCCTTGAAATATATATACTGTAGGATGAAACGTCCTATCATTAATCTGAAATCAGTATAAGATCTGCAAGACGAGCTTGATAATTTTCTCTAATTTGTATGTATTGGCCATTCAATAATTTCTTATCCAATTTTTACCCGCTGGAGGATTTTGAACAAAGACTTGGTTTTAGATACAAATTTAGCAATTAAGTAAAAGTAAATTGCATCATACATATTCCATTCTTAATTTATCCTTAAATGTTAGTTTTTAGAGTGGATATTTAATAGTGAGAAATCAAGCCTGCGTTTTTTCACTTATTTTTTTTATATAATGGTTTTAACGAATAATTTAATTTAATCATTAGATTTTTTTTATAAAATTAAGGCTAATTTATCTTTTCACATTGATAATAATTTTAGTAAAATATACGTCAGATGAGTTGTTAGTGTGATAATCATTCAAATAATTACGGTCGTTACCTGACATTTGTAAGGCCATAGGAAGAAACCATTTTCAAATATATATATATATATATATACACGTATATTATTTGTATGTGTACACATAGACACCACACAATTCGGGTCATATAACAGTGATACAAAATTAGCGCAGTGTGCAATTCAAGCACCCTTTAATATGGTGACTTGAAAATCAAAATTTGAAGACTACAGAAAACAAAAACAAGAGATTAAACACATTATGTAAAAAATTAAAAAGAGAGGGGAAATCGCTGTGTCGTTTACAAGATACAAATTTTGAACAAGTGAATCAAATGGGTCCCCTGATGCATTTTGATACAGTTAAAGCCTTATCGAGACTGTATTTGAAAAAAAAAAGAAAAAAAAAAGGATGATTCTATTTCCTATCTAAAATTATGCACGAGGAGAGAGACAACCAATTATAATTTCATTATTTTTGCATTTTTTTCTCAGTTTTCTCACCTTAAACAATGCGAATATGGGATATATGTCACTTAAGTAATCCCCTGTATCTAACTAATTAAATTTGCCTAATTTCTTTGTGGGCAGTTATTTCAAGGTATAACAGTGTGTTGCTAGGAATACTATAATCAGGAATGCTATTTCTTGAGATAGGATGAATTTTAATAATCCCAGAAATATATTATTTAAAATTAAAAAATATCATATAATAATGGAAGTTTTATAATTGTATTTGGGAAACAACCTACGGTATTGTCTTGAATGTTAGGGTTGAAGACCGTAGGCCCGTTTTATGTCATCAAGGTCCTTACAACCGTGCCTTGCGTGGTTCTTCTTTCACCCTTCCTTTTCATTCTGTTGGGGTTTTCTATCAGATTCCCCAAATTTTTCTTGTGTGTGCCGCTTTCACTAGATTTTGTTCAACATGACTCAAGATCTCGAGATGAAGGATCGCTCAACGCCTTCCAACTCCGTTTCTTTACCTGCTCCGTCTACTCTGCAGCGTCAGTATTTTTTTCTTCCTCTGTTCCGATTCGCAGTTCTATAAAGCCATTTTAGTTTTTCATTTTTTTGCTTTGGTTTCGCTCGCAGATTTGAAGGAGATAGCGTCGCTTATCGAGACCGGTTCGTACACGAAGGAAGTTCGTAGAATTGCTCGTGCTGTTCGCCTTACAATTGCGTTGAGGCGTAAATTAACAGCGTCGATTATCTCGTCTTTTCTTGATCACGTCCTCACTACTGGTTCTGAAGCTCATGCAAAATTGTCTGCGCATCTTCCCAAGGTGACCTTCAAGTTAGATTTAGGGTTGTTCCTGTTGAGAAGGACTTACATATTTTGTTCTTATTAACCTAATTTGAATTATGAGTAGTCTTTTTTGGTTCATTTAATTCAAAATCTAAATTATGATGCCGGCAAATGATTTAACTGTATAGTGGATGTGGGTCGATGAGTGTATTTCAATTATTTTTGGAGTCATAATGTCCGCACTGCATGTGTAGGAGGATGATCACGAGATGGAAGTGGATGCCGCAACATCTGCAATTCAAACCCCAGCTAAACACTTGTTGCCCGAGCTAGAAATCTACTGTTACCTGCTCGTACTACTTTTTCTGATTGATAAAAAAAAATACAATGAGGTCAGTCCCCCTTTTTCAACTTTTCGAATTGACAACTGAAACTGATTATATACTGCTGTTTTTACTACCTCTTTAGGCCAAAGCTTGTTCCTCAGCTAGCATCGTTTGGCTGAAGAACACAAACAGGAGGACTGTTGATGTTATTGCATCCAGACTGTATTTTTACTATTCATATAGTTATGAGCTTACGGGAGATCTTGCTGAAATCCGTGGGTGAGTTAAGTGCTAATTTATCTAATACTTGAGAGATGTTGAAGACTGAATTGTATTTTTAAGTAATTTTAATTTTGGAATTTGTTTTCAGCAACCTCCTTGCATTGCACCGAATTGCCACCCTGCGCCATGACGAGTTGGGCCAGGTATGTTTTCACTTTAGGTTTTTTACGTAAGGGCTTATGATCCTTACTAAAGTTCAGTAGTTGTTGTAACAACAAACTCAACCAAGAACAAATTTGATAGTTATTATAGATTCTCAATCAATATGCACAGTGATATGCCAGTAATTAGGGTTTGTTGGTTTTTTGTTTTAATTCTGTTGTTCCCTGCTTAAACTGATCAGTCACGCAATTTATGCCAAATGCTTATGATCCTTGATATAGTTCAGTAGTTGTTGTCACAACAAACTCAACCAAGCACGTTTCATAGTTATTATAGATTCTCAATTGCACAGTGATATGTATGTAATTAGGGTTTTTTAGTTTTTTCTTTTTAAAATTTTGTTGTATTTAATTATGTACATACAATGAATGTTCCCTGCATAAACTGATTAGTCACACAATTTATGCAAAGTGTTTTATTTTAAACTTATCTGTTAACTGTTGATTCATTGAAGGAAACACTTCTTAATTTGCTGCTCCGCAACTACCTTCACTACAATCTATATGATCAGGCAGAAAAATTGAGGTCTAAGGCTCCTCGATTTGAAGCGCATTCAAACCAACAGGTACGGTGGTTCTGTTATTCTGACCATCTAAGTTTTGATGTTTTTTATTTCAATTTGGGCAGACAAACCTATCTATTATACAGTGCTCGTCAGTGTTGTGATAAAGACCTTGTGGAGGTCCTCAATAATGGTGTTATTGTTGTTTATGTAGTCTAATTTATTGTTAAATATTTTTCTTATCCTTTTTGAGATTTTCCTTCACTTATCCACATTTGTGGTACACCGTTTCAGTTCTGTCGCTACCTCTTCTACCTTGGGAAAATTCGGACAATTCAATTGGAGTATACAGATGCAAAAGAGTCTCTCCTGCAGGCTGCCCGGAAAGCTCCAGTTGCTGCACGGGGTTTTCGAATTCAATGTAACAAGTGGGCTGTGATAGTTCGGTTACTGTTGGGAGAAATACCTGAGCGCACTGTCTTTATGCAGAAAGGAATGGAAAAAGCTTTAAGGCCTTACTTTGAGCTTACAAATGTAAGTCTACATTATTATCCTATGTTTATCATGATAATAACACTGTAGGCTGGTTCTGATATCATTATGATTAGTTGGCTCGTTTTCCCTCTCTTTTTTAATCATTACAAGTAAATTTTCTGTAGTTGAATTATAAATTCACTCCACAAGAACTGTTCAGTTTTACATATTCTGAACTCTATTGTTATCTCAAAACTTTATTATTTTCATATCCATAATAATCTTATATATATGTATATAAATATATATATATATATATATATATA